TGAATTGACAGTGGGGTCCAACGCACACACATCTGAGTCCATTACGGTGTCAGACTGACTCGGTTGGCAGAAGTGTCGCCTCCAAGTCAGAAGGTTGTGGGTTCAAGCCCATGTTGAACTCACGGATTAGGCTGGTATCCCATTCAGTGCTGGGAGAGGGGTGGGGGGGGGGTGGGTGTAGAGAGAGAGAGAGGTGTACTGTCCTGTCAGAAGTGATGTCCTTTGGATGAGATGTTAAACCTGAGGTCCTGTCTGCCTGTTCATGTAGACATTAAAGATCCTATGGCGCAATTGTGAAAGAGAAGGGAGTTTTTCTCCATTTCCTGGCCAAAAATCCCCTAGATAATAAAACTGGTCATTTACTTCACAGCTGTTTGTGGGACTTTGCTGTGCGCAAATTGGCTGTTGAATTTATCTACAAATACAGTCACTACACTTCACAATAAATCCTTGAGGATTCTTGTGATGTTTTGACTCCGTGAAAGGCGCGGGATCAAACGCAAACATTATATTAGTATTTGACGTGTTAAATGCCAAACGGGCTGCTAAATTGATTCCCGATTCTGATCTCTTATGGGAACGGCTGGTGTCGAATCGCTGATAAAGTACTTCTGCAGTTAAAGCTTATTTCTTCCCAAAATGTGACATCTCCAAAATGTGCAGAGCTCTCTCTCCTTCTCAGAGAAGTGGAATGCCTGTCAAGCTGTGTGCGAAGAGTTGTCTTTTGCCAGGTTACAACTGCAGCATTTTACGAGCCAAGAAATTGGAGTCTATAATTTACTGAAACCACATAACAAAATGAAGAAAGCAGTGTACTGCAGTAGTTAGCAACAAATTGTGCTTATTGCAGCAGAACCTTTTGGGTCCTTTGATTTGAAAAATATATTGCATGCTCCAACTTGTCTGGAATGCACACTCACTCACTCACTCAGGGATGTGCTACAATGCAGATTCAACACACATCGTGCGAAAGGCTTGAAAATCATTCTGGTCTTACCCTATAACACTGATGTGCGAAAATGAGCTGGCGCATTCACCCACAAATACACAGTTTAACTTTACAGTTAAACCCTGTGAAATGCTTTGAGACATCCTCCTGGTGTGAAAAGTGCATTACAAATAATAATAATAATACTTGCATTTGGTATAGCGCCTTATTACGTCGTTGAGATGTCTCAAAGCGCTTCACAGGATACACTAAGTGGATTGAATGTGTATTTTGTGGGTGAAACGCAGCAGTCAATTGTTTTTGTTGGAGGGATTATTACCCTTGGAAAGTGATCCGCCAATCGAGTAACAACCAGGTTCCTACTTACTGCTAGGTAAACAGGAGTGTGGAATTGGGGTTGGGGTGCAGAGCTGCTCGCTCAAACCTACTATTAATATTAAGATCATTTTAAAATTTCAGATGGCCCTGGATTGTGGTAAAATCTTAAAATTCTTAATTGGGAAGCCGGTTTTCCGGTGCTTCAGTTAAAAGTGCGTCCAGATTAAGGCAACCATTGAGAAATTTCAACCGTTCCGCACCGTGTTAAATTTTTATGACAAAATGCTTTTGCAGGCAAAGAACGGATGGAATTTCAGGTCTCAGCTGTGTTAATATCAAGTTGGTGAGGTTTGAGTTTCTGCTGTGAGGTACAGTCACACAGCACAGAAATAATTAAAGGTTATTTAACTATTAAGACTCATCCATCCTTGTTCATCTCAGGTTGAGTGCTTTATTGAAGCAGCATTAAATAGAGGCAAAGCTTTTATTAAAGTATATCAATTTTAACCCTCTGTTGCTGTGGAAATAGGCAGTACCAAACGGCATTGTTAAAATTAAGATCTTATGCTGCAAACCCCCCTCCCTCCCCCGAATTTGGGTGGATTTTTTTTATAATCCATTAATGGGACACACTATCTTTTATACTTAGAGCAGCTTATCTGGTCGGAGTGTTCATATTGCAAGTGTAATGATGGGGGGCGGGGTGAGGGGAGGGGATGACACCATGCTGTTTGATAAGCGCTGGGAACTCACCCTGAGGTCGAACAAACATGCTTTTCCTATAAAGAAGAGGAGTCACAGAAATTAAAAGTGATTGTTTTGTTGCAGTAGCAAAATTCATTGCGTGTGTGTGTGTGTGTGGGAGGTGGTTTCATGGGTGGTCTCTTGCCGTGAAAGCATAACCTTAAAGATGTGATGTTGCTTCCACCTCCGGCATTGTCCATTGGAAGAATCTGCTGTATCTCTCCAAATCAGAAGGATATCATGCCGGAAAATTGATGGATTTTTTTGAAAAAACATTCGGTGTCCAATTAGTTTTCCAATTTTCTCTCATTGACATGTCATAATAATTCTTGCATCACGCCTTATCACGTCGTTGAGACATCTCAAAGAGCTTCACAGAATGGACGGTAAAGTTAATTGTGGGCGAAATGCAGCAGCCTACTGCACAAACAGTCGTAGATTGAGTGATTACATTTTTGTTTTCGAAGGGATTATTACCCCCGGAAAGCGATCCAACAATCGACTAACAACCGGGTTCCTACTTACTGCAAGGTAACCAGAGGCGTGTGGAGCAAGGAAACTTGCCCAACATTTTGCCCCAGCGTGTGGTCCCCAGTCTCCTCTTGTTGGGGTCTGCTTTCACGGGCACTGATTTCCCTCCAGTATTCCCCCGGCCGCCCCCACCCCCCTAAGTGGCATTACTCATGTGGGAGCCCTGGAAGTGGTGTTGGCAGGCCTGTCGACTGCAGCGGACATCACAGCCAAGGTGACCTCCTCCCACTCAGCTGCCACACACATTGCACTACGACACGGAGCTGTGATCACACAGAAACACACCACAGTTGTCGGCAATTACTGCAAAGAACTTTATGAAGTTTCAATAATAATAATCCTTGCATTTGATATTTTTCACCCACAAATATACAGTCAGTTCACTTTACAGTATATTCTGTGAAGCTTTGAGGCATCTAGAGACTTGAAAAGCGCTATGTCAAATGCAAGGATTATTATTATTATAGCTCCAATTCACGTCCTCGAGACCATTGCAAAGCGCTTCACCGAATATACTATAAAATGCAGTGACTGCGCATTCAGTGGGCGAAATGCGGCAACCAATCGCGCACAACAAACAGTCATGGACTGAGTGACCAAATCACTACTACGCAACCCAACATGGTAAAGCTCCATAAAAATGCAAGATCTGGCTTTTCTATTTGAGAGTAAAAGCTAAGGTTTCCCAAGGATTCTATTCAGCACTGTTGCAGCTGACGATTATCACATTCCAGCACTGTATGGCACTTCCCCCGCCCTCCGCCCTCAACAATACGGTGTTATTTCTGCTCAGTGAGGTGGAAGTTCCCAATATACATCAGAAACACAGACTCACTGGAATGTCAGATAATTCCAGTTGCTTACTACTGATAGACTGGTGGGGGAGGATGGGGGTGTGGACAATATTCCACAAAGCATTTCACATTCATGTGTCTAGTCAGTTTTACGTCAATGCATTCCACTCTGTGGAGTGGGCTTAATGTATTGGTGATGGCCAGATTCTCGCTTGACTGGCAGGGAGGCCAGGGAAGCAAAATGCTACCTGTTAGACCAGTTTAAGAATTGTGCAGAATGGTACCAGAGATGAGGGACTTTAGTTATGTGGAGAGGCTGGGATTGGTCTCCTTAGAGCAGAGACTATTAAGGGGAGATTTAATAAAGGTGTTCAAAATTATGAGGGGTTTTGATAGAGTAAATAGGGAGAAACTGTTTCAACTGGTGGGTGTGTTGGTAACCAGGAGACATAGGTTTAAGATAATTGGCAAAAGAACCTGAGGGGAGTTTTTTTTTACACAGAGAGAAAACTTTTCAGGGGTATGGGGAAAGAGCGCGGGTGTGGGACTGATTGGGTAGCTCTTCCAAAGATGGGCCAAATGGCCTCCTTCTGTGCTGTCATATTCTATGATTCTGTGAATTCAGGCTTAATTTAGAAGCCAGTGTGCAGTTACTTAAAAGAGCTTCCAAATATAGATTGAATTAAGTTTTAAGACCAAATTGTCTTGCAGACTAAGGTGAGGAGGAATTTTGCACCTCTGAAGGCATTTTAGAATACGTTGCTGTGGTCAGATTGGCTGCTGCATTTATCTAGAAACGATCAATGCTTGATCAACAGTAATTCCTTGCAATAATAATAATCCTTGCATTTCATATATAGAGCCTTATCATGTCTTTGAGATATGTCAAAGCGCTTCTCAAAGTACGTTGCCACATTTCAGTGTGATAAAGTGCTATGAAAGTGAAAGTGTTTCTTCTTTTTTACTTTATTATTCAATCTGCAAACTAGTCACACCCGGTTTGGGTTCATAAAATCACTCCGCATTATAAAGGGCTGTGCTATAGAATGACCGATGACATTGACTGTCTTGTGCGTGTTTCCGGTGGTTATTAGGAAGCCATTAAGGCAGGGAGACCTTCTCTACATGCGAGCCACATGCAGGAAGCTGGTCAGTCAGTGCCAGAAACCTACTGTATTAACAGCACACGACAAATCCATGGTACAACTTTCTTCAGTTGTCAAGCCATCCTCCTCGGCTCCTGCCAATGTCTTCTTATCTCCGGTTCTGACCTCAGCTTCCCCGACCTCTTTCTCGAACATACCGAACCAGAAAACTCCCTGCCTCAGTGTCTCCGCCTTAACACCCCCCCCACCCTCCTTATCTATCTTTAAATTCCACCTGAAAACCTGTCTTCGACAATGCCTGTGGTCACCTCCCCCTCCTCTTTCTCCCTTGCTCAGCGCCTGACCCCGCTCCTCTGCAGCGCTCTGAAACGTTATCCTATGTGAAGGATGCTACTCAAATGTAAGTTGTTGTTACTATGTATGGGTTAGATATACTAAAGCTCAATTCAGTTGGGTCCAACTGTACCGTAATAAATTCCGGAACATTGTGAAACACATTGATTGAATCCAAAGGGACGTTAGAGGTAATTGTTTTTTTTGGGAAACCTTGCTTTCCAGATCTCTTTGCACTTTGGTTTGCAAATGGACTTACTCAGCGGACAAGGGGTGGGATGATTGCTTCTGGAAGAAAATTGGACTGAAGGATTTAACAGTCGACAACTATGCCAAAATAGGTACTGTACTGGACTGGAACAATTGCTCCTCTTTGTGTTTATTTGGATTTTTTTGAAATATTTGTGCTTGCGTGCTGTTTGGTGGATAATGCCGATTTGTGGCTTGGCATTCCAACTATATTTAGCTCGGACAATGAAACTGAATTTCCCATCTGGCATCTGATGGACAGGCTTTCATGCTTGCTCCCTTAGGGCACTTTCAGAGCAACCTCCTACTCCGTGACCCTTGCAAAAGCTGCCTTGTTGTGGTTGGAAAGGCCATCAGGTAGTGGTCTCTTGGCCTTAGTAGTTGCCCAAATGTCCAAGGGTGGTCAGGCCAGTAAACTAAATGAAAACTTACTGCCACGAAGCAATATTAGATTACTTGGTGGTTACAGTGCAGCAGCCTTGATAGGCAGAAACCTATGATGATTAGCTAGGTTGCCTCCAAGCCATTGCGTTTTAAATTGAAAACAGAATTCTAAACAGAGTAGTGTGGAGCCAGTGATGCTTATCTCAGTTTAACTCCATGAGAAGCCGCTTTCAACAAGCGGCAGCAAAACATACGTAAAAATAGACCTGATGTTGCGGCTTTCCTAGGTACATTCCCTGTTAGCAATTTGAGTCGAGTAGGGGGAAACCTCTTAAGGCACCCAGACTAGAGATCAACTAATGCCCACAGACTTGGAGGGAACTCTACTCCGACAGAGTCAATGATATGGTCGGGAGAGCTGAAGTTCCAATGAGATTTCTTATAGCAAACCCATAATGAAATATCACAAGTTGTTGGAACACAATGTGTAAATTATTCTTCGCAGCAGAATGTGCCACTGGAATAATATAACTTGTAACCTGGTTCCAGGTTTTGTGTGATTGAGATGCTTATTAGTTGCTGTTGATCAGAACAGAATTAAGAAAATAGCTGCTGATACACTGAGGGGAAAGTTTCCAGCATTTCATGACAGTTTTGATGTGCTGGAATCTGTTATGAAACGTCCCCCTGTTTTTCCATCCATCCACTCACCACCCACCGCCTGCCATCTGCACATCAGTTTGCTCCTGTTCACTCAACCAGTCGAAAAATATTCACTGCCTTCTTATTCTCTTCATGTCAGAGTTTGAACACTACTTATAAATATAATGCTTGCATTTGATATAGTGCCTTATCCTTCGGGATGTCTCAAAGTGCTTTACAGAATATACAGCAAAGTGAATTGACTGTATATTTTGTGGGTGAAACCCGGCAGCCAATTGCGCACAGCAGCGTCCCACCAACAGTGGTGGATTGAGTGAACAAATTATTATTATTACATTTTTGGAAGGAATTATTAACCCCGGAAAAGAGATCCGACTAACAACCAGGTTCCTACTTGCTGTTAGAGTAGACAGGCGTGCGGAGTAAGGAAACTTGCCCAACGTTTCGCCCTGCTGGGAATCAAACTCAGGTTTCTTGCTTGTGAGCTGAGTGCTCTAACCACTGAGCTACAGGAATCCACAGGATATTGACTGAATTAGGTCGGTATCCTGGTTGTAGCCTCAGTCATAAGAGCATCGGAAAATCCTCAGGAATAACTATCATACTGAGGATGAGGAAGAATTTCACTATTAGTGGTTCCATATAATAACTGTCAGTAATGGGCTCCTGTTATCTCGTCGCATAGACTGATCAAGCCAAATAGGGCAAGAGAACTCTTTCTCAATGCTGAAGTACTTATCAAGAGGCACCTCAATTTAAGTTTTACGGTTTGCAAAAAAACAGAATCTTAGCAATTTGCTGCCTGGAAAATTGTTTTCAGAACGTAATTGTGACCGAGTGGTGGTTACTGGATATGCGGTTGCCTGGGAAACGGTTGTTGGTGTCCTAAATATTATTGTTCGCCTATTGGGAAATACTCTTAAATTGAGTGCAGTTCTCTGGCACCCACAGCTTGTACAGTCAAACAGCGGAGACTGCAAGGCTCGCCTATTGGGCAGCGACTGGTTATTGTTCATTTTGCTCACTCTCTCTGTAGCTGGGTTAGGGTAACTAACAGCAAGGCCGTCTTCAGTTGATCTCTAGTCTGTGGGCATTTGTTTAGTTAACCCAGATGTATATTTCTGAACACAAGCAACAACACCAACAACAAAAGTACATTTGTAAAGCGCTTTTCAAGTCAGGAGGATATCCAAAGGTGCTGAATAGTCAGAGATCAGGACCTGAGCTTGTGGTGGGGACAGGGTTGGGATGAGGCGTAGGAGTGCGGCTGAAGGCACGGTCAAAAAGGAGGGTCTTGAGTTGTGCCTTGAAGGAGGAAAGAGAGGGAGCGAAGGGAAGGGATTGTGAGATGGAGTTCCAAAGAGTGGGGTAGAGAGGCTGAAAGCCCGGCCTCCGATGGTAGGGCGGGTCAGGTGGGAAACCTGGAGCCTGCTGAGTGGAGCGAGCGGACAGGCTGATATGGGGCCAGCAGGTCAGAGATGTAGGAGGGTCAAGGCTGTAGAAAGCCTTGAAAGTGAGGACTAGGAATTTGGATTCTATCCTCTGAGGGATGGGGAGACAGTGGTGTCGGGAGAGGGTGGGAGTGATGGGTCACGGAGCGTGGTGCGCGAGAGTACACGTGCTGCAGAATTCTGGATGATCTGCAGCTTATGGAGGGAAGAGTTGGGGAGGCCGACAAGGAGGGAGTTTTCGTAGTTGAGCCTTGAGGTGATGAATGTGTGTGTATGAGGGTTTGGGTAGCCTGAGGGATGAGGCAGTGGCGGAGTTGGGAATGTTGCGGAGGTGGGGGAAGGCAGAGCAGGTCATGGCATTGATATGGTGGAGAAAAGACATTTGAGGGTTGAACAAGACGTACAGGCTCCTAACTGGCTTGGTGAGGTGGAGTGTGCAACCATGGATGCTGATGCTGCCAGTGCCTGAGCTATGGAGGTACTGGCACAAGCCAATCAGGAGGGTATCAGTCTTACTGACATTCAGCTGTAGAAAGTTCACTTTCATCGAGGCAGGACTTGATGTTTGACAGACAATCTGTCAGGACGTTAGTTGTCCTGGAATCGAGGGTGGAGGCAGAGAATTAGAGTTGGGTGTCATCCGACTACATATGGAAGTTGACCCCATGTCTGCGGATGATGTCACCAAGTGGGAGCATGTAGAAGTTGAAGAGGAGAGTGCAGAGGATCTGAGGAACAAAACACGAGACTGTGCGGGGGCTAGAAGCGAAACCGTTGGCAGAGACAAATTGGAGATAAGAGATAAGACCTGACCATTCAAGAACAGAACCTTGAAGGTTGAGGTGAGAGCAGAGGCGGTGGAGGAGGATGGAGTGGTCTTCGGTATCGAAGGCAGCAGAGAGGTTGAGGGGGATGAGGAGGTAGAGGGAGCCCTGGTCACAGATGGACAAAATTATTTGTCATCTTGACCGGAGTAGTTTCCGTGCTGTGAGCAGCATGAAAACCCGATTGGAGGGGCGCGTGTAGGGCTGGTAGGAGAGAAGTGAGCGAAGCTGGGAAGCTATGACTCTTTTAAGGACCTTCAAAAGAAAAGGAGGTTAGAGATGGGCCTGTAGTTAGAAAGCAGGGATAGGTCCAGGAAAGATTTCTCCGGATGGGGGTGATTGTAGCTGTTTTTAGGGGGGACGGTAATGGGCCCAATGAAAGGGAGAGATTGATAGTGTCGGAGAGTGGAGGGGTGAGGAGTTGGAGCTGGGAGGTAAGGAGAAGGGTGGGGATGGGGGTCAAGGGAGAATGTAGTGTGTTTCACGCTGGATATGGTGGTGATGAGAGGGGAAGGGGGAGACAGGTTTGAAAATGTGGAGGGAAGGATGGGTATTGATCGGAGGGAAATGGGGAGGGAATAGCGGTTGGGAGGGCGGAGGCAGCTGAACGGATCCCCTCAATTTTGGACTCGAAGAAATCTAGCATTTCCTCACAGTCAGAGCTTGAGGAGAGAATGGGCGAGGCATGGGAGGGTGGACGGAAGGTTGGTGGTGGAGACTAGGAGCCAGGGGTTGACTTTCGCCTCCAAGATTATCTTGGAGTAGAAGGATGATTTGGTGGAGACGAGGACATAGTGGTATGTTTTGATGTGGTCCAGCCAAATCTGTCGGTGGACCGTTAGGTCAGACTTGGGGCAGGTGCCTTCGGGGCCCACTTCAGCACTTTGTAATAATCTTTACATTTGATATAACATCTTTAATAATAATATTCCTTACATTTGATATACATTTTTTAGCGCCTTACATATCAGGAGGACATCTCAAAGTGCTTCACAGGATTTATTGAGAAGTGTAGTGACTGTATATTGGTAGGCAAATACTCTCGTCTCTGAATCAAGGTTATGGGTTCAAGCTGCGTATCAGGATTTTGAGCTCCTGGTGTAATCTGATTCTCCATTACATTCCTGGGGGGTGCACTGAATTTTCAGGGGTGTTGTCCCTCGGATGAGATGTTAAATCGAGATCCCACCTGTGCCTATTCCAATGACGTTGATCACAATGAACGATCACATTGTGATCCCTCAGGCAAAACTGGTCATTAATTTCACGTTTGTGGGACATTCCTGTGTGCCAATCGGCTGCCACGCTCACCTACAAATGCACAGTCACTACATTTTACAGTAAATATCCTTTGAAGGCGCTTTGGGACATTTTGACACAAGATAGATGCATGGGCCTAATGGGCATAATTTTGTCATGTGGTATAGAGTTTCTCTCTCCCTATTACTTCAAATTGTAATTTAGCTATCAATTGACGAAGTATCCTTCATCTGTGTTTTCTGGTTTGATTTCCCACCAGCATCAACCAGACATGTAATCACCCGATTCAGAAAGGGGTGTTACCATTGTAATTACGGTGCCAAAGTGTTTTTCCACTTGGATTACAAGCAGCATTGTCTACTGTTAATAAAGTCTGCCTGCACCTGCACCTGCCAGTAATCTCATGAGCGTTCAAAATGAAATGAGTGGAATGCTAATTACAGTCATTTAGTGGCAGGAGGTCCTGCAATCACTGTGGATTCACAAGATCTTCCCCAGATCTTCATACGA